AAATGGCCGAGGGTTGTAAGAGAAAGAGTGTCTGAGAATTGTATGAAAAGAAAAGAAAGGCCTCAGAAGAGGCAGGTATATCCCGGAATGCTTTGCGCCGAGAGCTCCCTGTGCAAAGCATTATGGGATTTGCTGTCACCATAGGCTGTCGCTACCCTACAGCGGCAACTAATAATAAAGATGGCGCACTGCCTGTGCCGGGAATTGATCATCTGTCTGAACCGTCAGTCAACAGAGTTCACTATAAATCCCCGCTCTACATAGTGATTGAGGGATTTAGGGGTACATTCTGACACAGGAGGTTTGTGTGAGCTATAAGAACAGAAACTTTTAAACAGACTGTGCACTAGGAGAAATGGATTCGTTCATGCGATTGCACTCACATTTTTTTTTTTTTAAGTGGAGAGGGCAGGTCTTTTAAAACATTCGAGAAAATCCTTCACAATACCTTTAAGTGAGGCTGTGTTCTATTTATTTTAATTAATTGCTCTAGATTGTTTTTAGGGATATCAGATTAAACTTGGCGGAATTATCCAAAGTGCTTTTAACTTTTAAGTCATAAATGGAAGAGGATGTTTAATAGGATATTTAAAAAAACTAAAAGAATTTTGTTATCAACACTGAGGTTTGAAAGAGCGAGAAGGTGGATTATGATATGGATCCTATTTCTAAGGGTGGCAAAAGCTCACAATGGGAGCGGGCGTGGTCTAATGTTATAGACATTTACTGTAATATGTTAATTTAGCTAACAGTGAAGCTAATAGCTGAGGATGCAAGAACTACCACCTCACTATTATGTGCTACTTTGTATTAAATTCATATAAAATCCAAACGTAATATACCTGTCTGAAAAAGCTTTTTGACAACATAAAATAGCATTTTTTTTATTTGGTTAAATGATACTGAAATATGATAGGATTAAAAATTAACATAAAATAAATTACAAAAAGTTGAATAAATAGTAGGACTGAATGATTTTGAAAAAGTATATAAAATTCAATAATATAAGGATTACAAATTTTTTTAGGGTGCATATTAATGTTCCACTTCCACTTAATGATCCTGAAAATTTCCTTGTCCAGAGTCCATTTTCTCTTGTATTTAGAGGATCGTTCTATAACATGAAGGGCTAAATGTTTTTTGGATAATGTACTGAATAAAAAAAGAAATCTAATTTCAGCTATTTATTTTTCCAGCTGTATTAAAAATTGACTAAACAAAAACATGTTTTCTTACATATTAATCAGTGTATTTTTTTATGTACGGTATAAAAAACAGTAATCTTTAAAATATTTCAAACATTTATGATTTTGAATATACAGAGATGATGAATTGTCAGTAAAAGAAAGGGTATGTCGCTCTGACTTTGCTTTATTCCAACAATCAGTTTTGGGAGCAGTGCTTTGAAAGTGGTAGTTCAGTTGCTCTTAGAGGAATGTTAAAACTTAGCTCTATTTAGTGTGTTAACTCACAACAGCTTTTTTTTTATCTACCGTGTTTATTGTCAGCATGTCTTTTTTTATCGTTTTTTGTTATGTCCTCCATAATTCTAAAATTACCTCCTCACCCTCCAAGCCAAGCAGGGAAGTTACACTACTCCACAAGGCAGCATGCCTACATAGGCACCATTTATATAATAACCTAACAACTTTATCCAGTTTTGATATTTACAAATAGAATTTCATAAAGTGCAATCTGCTTCTTTGTCACCATATAATCCTTAACGGACTCTCAATTGATTTATGATTCTGCTCTAGTATCCTGTCACTCTGGCATCACTTCTCTTGCAAAAACCAGTGAGGCTACACTTAAAAACACAGCATCCTTTAGAGGAGATTAATAACATTACAATACAGCCAGAAATTTATGTTAAAGCAGATGTTATTAATTACTTAGGTGTAATTAGTTTTAACCTAGTACACCATTTGAATAAAAAAATAATCGTAATCAGTTACCGTATTTTCCAGACTATAGAGCGCACCTCACTATAAGACGCCACCACTTAATTTTTTGAAAAAACTGGAAACGTACATATATACATTGAACCAGGCTATAAGCTGCTGATATATACTGTTTCCCACAAGGTGAACTGTCTCCCACCAAACCTGTAGGGGGAGCTCTACATATAGTCCCTAGAGTAGGGACAAAGAAGAATGCCTGATCCGTTCTGCACATGCGCGAACAGATGTACTGTAGTTATTATGGTACTAAAACTACTTATATCTATCCTTAACTCACTAAAGAATGCTAATACACATCTTTAAAAAATGTTTTATGAATTTTGTGAGATAACTTTTATGCTTTTTACATTTGTTTCGTTAAACTGACGTCATCATCCAACATGCTCAGGGCAGTCTGGCAAAATTTGACCATGTTTAGTTGTTTCCTTCTTTAGATTACACACTATATAACATAAGGTTTAAATGAAATGAAAACATAAAACTCCAAAAGACTAGATATATGTTAAAATCCAAAGCCGAAAAAGTTAGCCACCAAATTAGCGTAGGATCCCATTTCTGCTGTAGATCAGGCAGAGACGAGTGATAAAACAGAAAGGATTTTAAGGCATTTCATTTCTCAGGAAAAACATTGTTAACATTTAACATATTATTTTTTAGTGCCTTCACTATCTTAGAGGAGGGAATATGTCATTTTGGTATTTTTAACAAAATAAAATCGAAAATGACCCGCATGTATATCTGGATGCGCATGCGAAAATGAGCTGAAAGCGCATGCGCAGAAGGGATCTTGCTTCCGGGACGGATTGGGTAGTGACAGGCAGAAAGAGCTTCTGCTGAAAGATGGGGCTTTGTTGGCTCTTTGTTTCAGCTCTGCAGGAGTTGAGCCCAGTCTCTTCGTTGGTTCAGCAGCGTCAATGTGGCAAATTAATGTCAAAATGTGTGAATTCGGCACATTTGTTCTCCACTGTACCTGCTGCTAACATGTTCTTGTGCTAAATAAAAATTAGCCCCTTATTCTTTCATTTCAAATTTTGACTTCCCCCTCTGGCGGTTCAAAGCCACACCTTCTTATAAGCTACGTAGTTCAAACCGCGGGAAAAAAGTATTGGCTTACAGTCTGGAAAATATGTTTTGTTTTTATCGCTAATCGCAAATGCAATCAATTGCCCAGGCCGGGTAAATGCCACTGGAGTTTTTGGCAGGTATGAAAATGTTCCCACTTGAAATAGCTCAAATGGCCTAAAACTACACATCACTACGCGTCACTTTAGGTATACATGGTTAGAACATCCTTATTCAGCATTTTGAAGAAGTGTTTTTCTCATTTGAGCCTCAGACATTTATTTAGATCATCTCCTAGCTGTAAAACTACATTGAACACTGAGGGAATATCAAAAATGGTGTCTTAGTCTTAAAGAAATTATATTCAAGCAGTTTATGAGTCTGGTAAAAGGATTTAATATGGCTTAAATAAGTTAGGTTAGCCTTTTACTGTATCTAAAAGTCTACAGTTTCTGAACATCAGAGGTGTCAAATAACGAATTACAAATACTTTGTTATTGTACTTAAGTACACTTTTTTGGTATATATACTTTACTCCATTACATTTCTACTCATTACATTTTCACACAAATACCTGTACTTTCTATTCCTTACATTTTTTAAAGCAAATGTTACTCTTTACTCTTGGGTTATGCTTAATGTTTATAAATGTTTATTTCACGTCATGTGCGCCATCCAATGCAGATCATTGCTCCATCCACATCTAGTGAAAACTAGTGTAATTGGATGAGTTATATATGGCAAACACTCATTGGTTAGCTAAAGGAAATCATCAGAAGCAAGCAGGTGTTCTTCAAACTGCAAACATGAACTGTTTATACCATGCTACAATGTCAGATTCAGAAAAAGATGTTGTAATGTCTTAAAGGTTGGACACATTCCCAAATAATTTTTCAAAATAGTCGAAAAATTGAGCTTTCAATTCATATAGTGGTATCTGGCTGGTTTTTTTAAAGGTTATTTTATACTTTTATACTTTAAGCAGTTTTTGGAGCACATACTTTTTTCACTTTTACTTGAGTAAAGAGTTCAAGTTAAAGAGTTCAAGTTGACTTTTACCAGAGTGTTTTTAAACTGCAGTATCTATACTTCTACTTAAGTAACAAATGTGTGTACTTTTGACACCACTGCTGAACATTCAAAGCTGCTGCAAATTTCCTCAAGTCTAATCATCTAAGTTCACCCTGACAGCAAGATGCTACAAGTAGTCTCCTGAAATCCTAAAATGCTATTGTGGGACTTTCAGCAGACCATTCCTACTAGTGATATGAAAAGTGCATGTCTGTACCTGTTGGAAGAAACTGCACTTATGGCTTCATTTGAGATATGAAAGTAGGAAGGATTTGCTCCCTAAAGAAAACATTAGGACTGGATTTGTCAAAAACGATAACCTAAACTGCTGATACATTTGATATAGATTGTAAAACCAGAAATGTTATTGTGTTTGTTAGCACATATTTTCCACATGTAAAAAAATAAGCCATGCTTATATTTCTTGGAAATATTTTTATAAGTGAAGTGGCCTGATGCTTCACTTTAATTTTGCATCGAAGGTTTATGCTGTATGTGAGAAAGATTGAAGGAAATTGAAGGATTGTTCTTACTTTGCTGATTCATCATGTACTGTAAAGCATAGAAACTTCCACATTATGTTTCTTTAGTTTAGACCTAAGTATGTCTACAGATTAGTTGTTCGTGTTGATGTACAAAATGGTGAATCAAAGCAGATTTAGTATTCACCATATGTCCCAGTTACAGCGGGGCTTAAAGTCTTATTGGTTAAAGCAACAACAAAATGATTAACATGGAAATAGCAGGTCATTACATTTTGATTTCATAACATTTGTTCCTCCATCTGTAAACCTTATGTTGCGATTTCTAATCCAGGCTCCTCCTCTTATAGCCCTTCACGCTATGCTGTTCTGTTATATGGATTCTGGTTGTTTTAAATGGTCTCTGTTTTCTCTCTCTATGCAGGCTGAGACGATGGGCTGTGTGAAGAGCAAAGAAGACAAAGGCCCCACCATGAAATATCAGACTGAGAATTCCTCACGGTCTGACCCCAACACCTCCACCTCTGTGCCTCACGCCGGTCATTATGGGCCGGAACCAACGCAGACGCAGCAGAATCAGGGTCCAGCATCTTCCTCCAACTCTGCAGCTGTGAATTTCAACCAAGCCCTAACGCCATTTGGAGGCTCCTCCTCTGCCATGACTCCTTTTGGAGGAGTGTCAACATCCTTCACTGGTCCCATGTCAAACTCTTTCTCTGGTGCCGTCTCTAGTGAGTAGTTTTTATTTTTGTAGAATCACTTCTACCTATCACAACCTTAGTTTGCATTTTTAATACGTATGTTTTTGAATAAATAAAATCAGCTCTCAAAGCCTTTAGTAAACAATTATCAGAATTCATTTTATTGAACTTTTCACCTCTCCCTACAGCTAATTTTAAAAGCTGAATTGTTGGATGAGTTAAAGAAAAAGATCAAAGAGCGTTAAAGGTGCATAGTAACGTAATATTTCTAGACAAAAAAGACCAAAAAAACCTTCAATCATGATAAAATAACATACAGATTGCCCATCCTGATAGTGTTTTGATAGTCCTTTTTTTTTTTAGCCTAAATAGATTTTCAGCAGGAGGTGCCATGAGCAGACATAAACCAACTTGTGCCCCATCTGCTGCCAGATCTATTAGAAAGACACATTCCTAGATTGTATTTGTTAAAATATCAATAAACATATAAAAATAGATAAAAGCATCACAATTTTGATGGTATGCATTATTTTTATCTATGTGCTGGAAATGTCCCATTATTTGATTTCAGTAATCTGGTCACCTTATTTTATTGGGATCATAATCCTGATGAACTGACTTCTAATATGATGTTTAAAAGTGTTTAAAATATTTTTTCCAACTTGTAAGGTAAATAAAACCAAGCTGCTCTGAGGTTGTAGCTACAGTAGCAGCCGTTCAAGATGGCCCTTGCATTTGAATTACAGGGTGTGACCAGGAGATGATGCTTCTCTTTAGATCATAATGTCAGCAAATTGGAAAGAAAGAATATTTTAGTACAAATATTGATGTTTAAAAAGGAATTAAAGGGGACTAGCCACTACTGTACAGAACAGAGCAGATAAACAACCAGTGCGCCGAGCATCTAGAGTGTTGAAGTGTCAAAGCAACTTGAACCAGCGTCTGATAAGATTTTTTTTTTTAAAGTGAGTAGTGGAGATGATCTTCTTCGTTTAAATCCTAAAACGTCCACATTACACATTGCCATGATTTTTTTAAAAGAGGGAATTTCCCGCGTGGTAGAAACCGGATTTGCAGGGATGCATGAGATATTGCTACTATTCCCGCTATGCCTATGTGAATTTTAAGCCGTGAAAAAACAACGATCAGATCTGAGGAGATGAAAACTCATGATCTAAAACTGTTTTTGTGCAAAATATTTATAAAAAATGTATAAACTTTAACAAACTTGTGTTACATCACCTATAGACCTATCCTAAATGTTTAAAATGAAATATAATATGTTCCCTTTAAAACCAGATTTAAAAATTTATCATAAAAAGTCCAATGCAATAAAAAAAAACTTTTTCTTATCTAGTGGCCCTAACTTAAAGGTTCTTTTTGTTTTGTTTTTCCTTGATTCCCACCACTCAAACACCAGACGTCTTTTAGACGTTGGTTTTTAGGCTAAATCTGGTCGGTCCTTCATAGTCTTGTTTAGTCCAGAAATACTTGTAGAAAACTGGCGTCTGTTTGGTCAGTCTGATTTAGTCCCACTTTAGTCCAATAATAGACATTAAAAACATTTTGAAAAGACTTCACAGTCTTTTCAAGGATCTGAAAATCACGACTTTTAACCTTTCGCTTTTTAACCTAATGTAGACGCCAGTTGAACATCAATAGGCTCTATGCACAACTCCACCCTTTCCTGAACTTCAGGAGGCTCCTTTCTTTCCTGTCTTTCATGATTGGATGCACTGATTATTCCAAGTGTGTATGACCTAAGTAACTGGCCAGACACACCTGGATTAATCAGTTCGTCCAGTAATGAAAGACAGGAAACAAAGGAGCTACTTTAAATTCAGGAAGTAGTGGAGCTGTGCATAAAGCCCATTATGTTGTGTTTTCAACCAATTTTTGCTTGGTGGGTAAACTATTATAGATTGTCTTGTGCACAAACAGTACTAGATTATTAAGCTTGCCTTGTGTTGTCTTAATATCCATTTCTTCTCAGTGGCATTTTGTCCCATATATCCTCTCTTTATCCTTATATACCCGTCCAGCTACAGCCATCTATGTCTGTACCAGCTTATCAAAGGGGCTGGTTGCTAGCCTCGTGAGACCATCCTGATCTCGCGAGCTTTCAAGATTTCACTCGCTAATCAGTCTCCGTTGAAGAAAATTTGGAGCCGTTCACCAAACGAACGTCCAATCAGCATTGGCTTTGAGGCGGGTTGAGGTGTGACGCAACGAGAAGCGCGACAGTTCAGTCTAAAGAACATGGCGGCTTCAGCCGATGAAACTAGCGTTAGCATGGCTATCAAGCAAGTTTTATCGGAATTACAGAGTATTTCTTCACTGAAAGAAGAGCAAAACACTGCTCTGGAGGCTTTTCTCAGAGGAAAAGATGTTTTTGCTCTTCTCCCGACTGGTTTCGGCAAGAGTAGCCTGGCTGTTAGTACGTCATATGCTTCGTTGATCTGATTGGTTTATTTGGCCCGTCTATCACCAACATAGGCCAATCAGCTAACCAGTATTTTCGCCCCTTCCCAAAATTACTTCAACCGAAGGTTTCCAGATGGATATGCGGAGCAAATCTATCTGGCGGAGTCAGGTTAGCTGGTTGCTGTCTTCACAAGTCTTTAGGAGAGACGCTGTCCAAACATGCATGTTTTTGGACCTTGGGTAAAGGCCAGATTACTCATAGAAAATATAAAAAAGATTCTTCAAAAATATGGTATAGGTCATGGTAGTTATCATGTTTTCAGACCCTTGTTTCAAACAATAAATGATGTATAGAGCCACTAATCCTGTTTTATATCTGTATCATTTTAATTCAAAGTTTAAACATTTTAACGTATCTTCATTGGTCTTTCTGTCAGTCTTGATCTACAAAGAAAATAACTGATGATCAGTCTCTCATGTTTAGGAGATTGTGCTTGTTACCCTTACTGGCATTGCATTATCTGCTTTTATACACATTGCTGTGCTAGTGTTTGCTTTATGCAGGTGATAATAGGATTATTGTTTACTGCATTGTTGTCATGGAAAGCCCCTGCGTGGGAAGCCTGCTGCCCAGTAGGCATGAGCATTGGCTATTAATGGTTTATTCGAGCTCATACTACAACAACTTGCAGCTATAAACCTAATCTGAATTATGAAAAAAAATAAAAGCTTTTTATTTCTGTTTCCTTTGACGTACAAACAATGGTATTTTAAAATCCCCTTTGCCACATTTGTAACCAGATGCTTATATATACTGAATCAAAATGAGCATTCAAATTTTCAGAAGTTCACCTATATTTATAACATTTTTATTTGGTAGAAATGTGTTTTTAACATCATAACTAACATATTTAGAATAAATATTTAGAAAATATTGTTTCCTTATAATTCTGTTCATGTTGTCAGTTCCCTGTAACTTCAAGCTGACCAGTTATTTTTTTGTTGTTATTTTAATATATATAATTTTTGCAAAAATATTTCGTTTCTATTTGTCTGTTTTCTCTAACTTTACCTGATATTGGTGATAGAGAATAAAAAACTATAGAAAATATGTTATGAAGCAACACTTGTGGTCAGAAGCAAGTTGATAAAAAATGTAATGTATATTTACTGATACGGTATATATTGAAACTTTTACTGAAAATGGATCAAGTGCAAACATTACAAAAAATGGAAGGGATTAATCAAGCATCATCTACAATTATCTGTAATATGAGATAAGCAATAACTAAAACCCTTAGATTTATCATGGGGTTCAGGTTATTTTAGATTCCGTGAATAAGCTAATGATCTGGGTTTTCCTGAATTGTTTTAAGGCTTATTATAACTCAATATATTTCTGAATTTGAAGAGAATGAGACCGCATCTCTGAAGAAATTCTGTTATTATTCTGGCCTTTGGGAAAAATGGATGATGTTGTTAATCCTAGCTTTCATGCATCAGAGGGATATTTGTCCGATTCAGAGAGTGAAAAAAATATTACTTTTCCATTTACACAATGTATTTAGCCACCTAGTTTGAACTGAGAATTTAGGGCAAATGCAAACACTATAAAATTGATGATGTGATATTAGTCAGTCTGTATCAGTCTGTTCTATTTTGCACTTATTTATTTTTCAATGATTTTTCAGCAACCACACGGTGTTCTTTAAATATGGATTCTGTTTTCATATTTTCAGGCGGCGTCACCTTCTTTGTTGCCTTGTACGACTACGAAGCCAGAACATCAGACGATCTTACCTTTAAAAAGGGGGATCGCTTTCAGATAATCAACAATACGTAAGAATCTGCTCAGTCTCTTTCTAAATCAATGCTTTCATGGGAGATTTAGCTCTTTTCTGGTGTCATCAAGGATCCTTGAAATCCACATAAACTTGTTATGGACAGTAAATTTGTAATAATTTTGAGATTTTAACAGTGCATTTAATTCTGTGAGTGCTTTGTGAGTTTGAATTTAATGTGAATATCGCCGGCCCACATAGTAGCGAATTAATACATGCAGGCCTATATTTTTTGTATGCAAAAAAAAGATTTTTTATGATTGTTTAAGGTGTTTTAAAACTACAATCCAACCCAAACATTAACTTAGAGATGAAAATAAATTAGTTTCAATAACTAGAAACAATCTTGGAGACCCTAAAGTGTTGGAATATCAATAAAACCATCAGCATGGATGAAGATGAGCCTGACAAAAATGTGTACTAAATTATCTTTAGGATGGAGCTCTCAAAATAAAGAACACTCTTCCAACCGTATAACATAGTGGTGGCATGGTGACTTCCTGAGGGCCTTGTCACTCCCATTGTTGCTGGTTTGTTGTTCGATCTAGTAGAATAACAAGAAAACTACATACAAATAATTCAGTTTAATATCAAATCAAAAGAAAGCCAGTTAAAACTCGGAGATGATTTAATGTCCTACTTTATACAAAAGCGTCTCACGAAAGCTGTGAAAATAACACATCTAGTTCAACACATCATATTGGTTAATATAGCAGATAGACGTGCTAACAAAATCTACAATAAAAGAATGGTTTCAGACATACAAGGTCTCTATCATAAAGCAAATACTTTGTGATCTACTATGAATTATGCATTACACACAGATTAATAAAATTTTCATTACGCCAAAAAAGCAAAGAACAAAAAAAGTATTTGCTTGAAAAGCAGAGTTGTCAAATTGTAACCATTTCTTCTTTATCCTAAAGCTGAAAATCAAAACCAAGTTCATGTCACAATTTTAGGTTGAGCAGAAGCAACAGCATTTGCTTGTTTAAGAGTCAGATGTAAAATGATCAACTACCATTAACAGTGTTCCATTGGTGATTTCCATCATTTTTCCATATATATGTAAAAGCCTCTGTCCAGTGTTGACAATTGAATGAACAAGCTATGTGCTTTCTTCTGTCATTGTTTGGTGCAGGGAAGGAGACTGGTGGGAGGCTCGCTCCATCACCACCGGGAAGAAAGGCTACATCCCCAGCAATTACGTGGCCCCCGCCGACTCAATTCAGGCTGAAGAGTAAGCCTGAGTTGTCACTTCTCCTACCTCCTATATACTGAACCTGTGTCAGAGAATAATGGCTCTCACATGATTGTTTATGTTTCTGTATGGTCCCAACATTCATGATTTAACATCTGTGAATTTTGCGGTCTTACCTTTCCAAAATCAGCTTATTTAACTTTTATTTTCTAAAGTCCCTTCTCTTTTAATATGCTGTTTTTATTTGCTTTGTACAGATGGTACTTTGGTAAAATGGGACGCAAGGATGCTGAGAGGTTGCTGCTCAATCCTGGGAACAACCGGGGGACTTTCCTGGCAAGGGAAAGTGAAACAACTAAAGGTGATTCCTCCACGTGGAATGGTTACCATTCAGGCAGTAGAAGCAGTTAGTTTACATGCAAAGTCTGTGGTTGACATGCATTAAGGCTCATCAAAAGGTCCTGCAGCACAGTTTGAGCAGCAGCAGCAATGCAATCTTGACGCATCTGAGAAGCTGAAGCCGTGCCTCATGAGCTTCTGAGCATCTGAGGCGCGTGACGCGCTTCACAATTAGCTGCTGGAGTTGGTAAGAAAGGAAATTTGCTGCTCGACGCGCCTCATCAACCAATCACAGAAGCTGATCTTGGTGCTGGCAGGGAGGCGGACACAGCACTGCTGATGCAGATCTCTATTATAACTCCTCTGAAACAGTTTATTAACACCTAAATTTCTTTAAAATGTTGAAACCTGCCGACAAAATATTTTTGTACCACATAACTGAAAAATGCTAACATCTACTTCCAGCCGCCACAAACAGAAGGAGACCGGCCTGAGGCAGCTGCTGCTGGATTCCCTGTGACCTTTATGTGTACAAGAATCAAAGATGAAGCAGCAGATGCTTATTTCTGCTAGAATTGCGTGCGGTCTGAACTTTGCATTAGTAAAAAAAAAATTCAACCAGACTTCCTCTAACCTTCCACTGGTCTCTGTAATTGGTCTAAAAAGAGTCTACTTTGCTTTTCGCAATGTTTGAGGTGTTTCTTGAATTTAAAGCTCCCTTAAAGTCGCCAACAGGACTTAACCTTTCTTACTACCCCACCAGTTTTTAAATTACTTGTGTTTTTTGGTTCATTGACAAACTAACTCTATGGTTCATGGTCGTCATGGTCCTGCTGAAAATGCATCAAATTCATTGCTTCACAGTTAGTTTGATGTTATTTCCGAAGTAATTCTGTGTTTAATTGATTTTCATAATTTAATCTGTTGTGACCAACAAAACGTTTTTCAAGAAGTGCTGATCTTTGTCTTTAAACATCTTGCGGTCTCTTTTCACAATGATGTTGCAGACTTGAAAAACTTGCAGACTTGAATTTGAAGACCAGACATGGGCATGTCAGCAGTTGTTTTGAATATTCTCTATGTCCATCCATGCAGTGTGGGATGGCAAATTTAAATTTTTATATTCTTTTAATGGGTTAAAGGCACAAGAGTTAAACATTTTGAAAGGGCTATATTAAACCAACACCGTATATAATAAAGAGCTTAACATACACAGTCAAACTGCATGGAGGTAGTGTGGTGTTCTGTGTTGCTTCAGGAGCTGGATGACCTGCTAAGTGGATCAGCAGTATAGTCTTAAACCTGTTTAAAAAGCTTTGCCATGATCCACAATATTCCAGTTAGAAATAGTCATTAAAGGAAAATTACTTTTTACACAGATTCTGGATGGTTTGGAGATTTTTAAATTTTTTTGACAAATGAAATTAAAACCATAATGTAATGAGCAAATATATATATATATTTTTTAAGTAAGAGAAAGGGTAACATTTAACAAGTTTTGCCCCAAAACAGGGATTTCAATAGTTATCTGAAACCTGCTGTCTTTGTTGTCGCTAACTGTTTTCACTAGGAAGGTGTAAAAGTTAGGCAAGCTAAGTGCAAAAGCGAACTCCCATACAGAATCAGAAAATACCAACATAGAGGAAGTTGGTAAGAAAATACCATCTTGTTGGGTTTATCAGAAACCCATTGCCCATGGTTTTGATTGTTTTCTTGTCTCACCTTAGGTGCTTATTCTCTCTCCATACGGGACTGGGATGAAGCCAAAGGAGACAATGTGAAGCACTACAAGATCCGCAAGCTGGATAACGGGGGGTACTACATCACCACACGAGCCCAGTTTGACACCCTGCAGAAGCTCGTCAAACACTACACAGGTTTGGTCCTGCTTTTCATACTGTCGGACCTTGGGGAATGGTTTTGTAAATTACTCTGTATGGTACATGTATTGCCAAGAGGGATAATGCTGTTTAATTTTAATGGTGGTTTATGTTCCTGTTATGATTTGCCACCTCCTCAGTGGAAAGAGGATGGAGTTACAGCAGCTATCTAAAGCGGAACATTCTTGTAGCCTTGTAGTTTTTTTCTCCATATCACAGAGCATGCAGATGGACTTTGCCACAAGCTGACCACAGTCTGCCCAACGGTCAAGCCTCAGACTCAGGGACTCGCTAAAGATGCTTGGGAGATCCCAAGGGAGTCGCTGCAGCTGGAGGTCAAACTGGGCCAGGGATGCTTTGGAGAGGTGTGGATGGGTAAGAGCAAAGCCTCCATGTAAAGCTTATTTAGTGATGCTTAGTGGCCTAGAGGGAGTTCATTATTATAGTTATTTTAAAAAAAATGTATTAGAGTTACCCACTTCCTGCAGTTTCTTCCTTTCTTTGTTATGTCATATTTATCTCAAGATATTGTCTCTGTGATGATAGTTAATTCCACAGGAATGTGCAATGGATTTAAATCAAACCATTGTATTTATGTTCAATATTAAATAGGGGTGTAAATAATAATCGTTTTGTATCGATCCATCGATCCAACAGCCGACGATCCAATGCATCGACACTTCCGTTTTTTTTTTTTTCTCCGGTCTATTTTTATCCATTTGTTGAATAATACACTTTTATTCAACTAACATAAGACTATGTTGAATGGTCTTGCTATATATATATATATATATATACACTATATTGCCAAAAGTATTTGCTCACCCATCCAAATTATTGGAATCAGGTGTTCCAATCACTTCCATGGCCACAGGTGTATAAATTCAAGCACCTAGGCATGCAGACTGTTTTTACAAACATTTGTGAAAGAATGGGTCGCTCTCAGGAGCTCAGTGAATTCCAGCGTGGAACTGTGATAGGATGCCACCTGTGCAACAAATCCAGTCGTGAAATTTCCTCGCTCCTAAATATTCCACAGTCAACTGTCAGCTGTATTATAAGAAAATGGAAGTGTTTGGGAACGACAGCAACTCAGCCACGAAGTGGTAGGCCACGTAAACTGACGGAGCGGGGTCAGCGGATGCTGACGCGCATAGTGCGAAGAGGTCGCCAACTTTCTGCAGAGTCAATCACTACAGACCTCCAAACTTCATGTGGCCTTCAGATTAGCTCAAGAACAGTGCGCAGAGAGCTTCATGGAATGGGTTTCCATGGTCGAGCAGCTGCATCCAAGCCATACATCACCAAGTGCAATGCAAAGCGTCGGATGCGGTGGTGTAAAGCACGCCGCCACTGGACTCTAGAGCAGTGGAGACGCGTTCTCTGGAGTGACGAATCGCGCTTCTCCATCTGGCAATCTGATGGACTTGTGCCAAGTGTAAAGTTTGGTGGAGGGGGGATTATGGTGTGGGGTTGTTTTTCAGGAGCTGGGCTTGGCCCCTTAGTTCCAGTGAAAGGAACTCTGAATGCTTCAGCATACCAAGACATTTTGGACAATTCCATGCTCCCAACTTTGTGGGAACAGTTTGGAGCTGGCCCCTTCCTCTTCCAACATGACTGTGCACCAGTGCACAAAGCAAGGTCCATAAAGACATGGATGACAGAGTCTGGTGTGGATGAACTTGACTGGCCTGCACAGAGTCCTGACCTCAACCCGATAGAACACCTTTGGGATGAATTAGAGCGGAGACTGAGAGCCAGGCCTTCTCGTCCAACATCAGTGTGCGACCTCACAAATGCGCTTCTGGAAGAATGGTCAAAAATTCCCATAAACACACTCCTAAACCTTGTGGACAGCCTTCCCAGAAGAGTTGAAGCTGTTCTAGCTGCAAAGGGTGGACCGACGTCATATTGAACCCTATGGATTAGGAACGGGATGTCACTTAAGCTCATATGTGAGTCAAGGCAGGTGAGCAAATACTTTTGGCAATATAGTGTATATATATATATATATATATATATATATATATATATATATATATATATATATATATATATATATATATATATATAAATATGAAGGCATATCTTTAGATGAGTATTGGATTTATATGTCCAATCAATGGTTATTCTTTTTGAAAGGATCAACTGATTCTCCTAAAAATAGTAGACCAATCCTGGACAGGTAAGGCTAGAGCAAAGCCATAGAGCTTAAAAAAGATTTAAGGAAAAACAGGTCAGTACCACTATAGTGGTTCCAAGAAAATTACAGTTACTTGGAAGAGAAAGATAAATGAGAGTGGAATATACCCTTCAAACACTACCTTCTATTTTTCTAACTAAAAAGGTTGAATCCGCTCACACTTGCATGCCAGCACATGCCTGAGCGATTATAAGACCTAATTAATGATGCAGCCTTTCTCCCAACCGATTATGCTCCCAGATTCCCCCTGTGGCTACCATTTCTTTGCTTCCTGTCTTTGTCTCTGCAGGCACGTGGAACGGCACAACCAAAGTGGCCATAAAGATGTTGAAGCCCGGAACCATGTCACCCGAGGCTTTCCTGCAGGAAGCTCAGATCATGAAGAAACTTAGACATGACAAACTAGTGCCTCTTTATGCTGTAGTATCTGAGGAACCCATCTATATTGTCACAGAGTACATGTCAAAAGGTAAGTGAAGCACAGATGACTTCTTCAACAGCTTTTTCTAATCAGAAAATAAAAGAAACCTGCTGTATTTGAACAAAATCCTGATAAACTACATTCTTAAGATAAAGCAAAGCAAAACAAATGAATTTCTAGATGAAAACCATCCTTATAGGCCAGTTGGATTAATGGCTGGAAGTTCAGTTAAAAGACATTTTTCAATTTAACAAGCATTTTAATTGATATTCTTTTCTGTGTGAGAAATTTTTGTTACTTTGAGTAAGGTCTATATAAAATCTATATCCAACACAGACTAATAAAGCAGTATATATGTAAAATTATTTATTTAAACAAACCTCATCATCACCTGACAAGAAAGGTGATTTGTACATTGCAGAACCACTTTATAGCATTTAAAATGCTTATTTTTCAGAACAGTGAGACATGCAGTTTTACATCAATCCAATCTATTTCTGTTAGAGTACTTAATTAAGGAAATCTGTTTTATATCTACAACAATACAGGCAGCTACATTTTCCTAAATGACAATAATAATTGTATTTTTGAGAGGCAGAGCTGCAGGTATTTTGACAACTGGTAATTATTTATGTGTCATATTCAAGCTCTGGGATTCTTTTGCCCTCTCACCTTAAAAGCCTTCTGCATTACCTTTTGTAGTGTATCTTTTTTGCTTTTTTTTTTTAGGAAGCTTGCTGGACTTTGTCAAAGAAGGCGATGGCAAATTCCTCACACTCATCACGCTGGTGGACATGGCTGCAAAGGTCAGACACACATTCTTCCCTTTGATTTAAAACATCTGTTTGTTAAGTCCTGATATCAGAGCTTTATCTTAATTTAAAAAAAAAGTACCACCATATCAGTAGAGCGATTCAGTGTTCCCATTATTCCTTTGCTTTGTGTCACCCGTTTTACAACGTTTGGCCTGAAAATGATTCACCCGGTTATTTTATTTTTAGATTGCAGACGGCATGGCCTTCATCGAGCGGATGAATTACATCCACCGAGATCTGCGGGCTGCAAACATACTCGTGGGCGAAAACTTGGTGTGCAAGATTGCCGACTTTGGTCTGGCCAGGCTGATAGAAGACAACGAGTACACAGCGAGGCAAGGTTGGTACATGCACGGCGGCACAAGGAAACAGGCTGTGTGTAGAATAGAAATGGAAAATACAAGAGTTATATGTGGTGTCCCATAATGGTTAATTAAGTTAATAGTGGAAAACAGATGCTGCTATTTACTCCGATTAGTTGCTACGTTCACTCACTGAGAAAACAGTCTTCATCACTACTTGGAACACATTTCCTTATCTACAATTTTTTGTCCCTGGTAAGATTACTATATCAGACACTTTTCAGTACTTTGCAGAAGTTTTAATACTCTTAAACGTTTTAAAATTCTACATGTTGCAACCAAAAACCAGTGTTTTTCTTTTTGTGATAGACCTGAACAAACTAGAACAAAGAAGCAACAATCTACCAAGTTTAAGATGTTTACACAATAAAAGCCTTAAAAGATTGGACCATAATTATGCTTAGCAACCCTTTGACACCCGTAAATAAAATCCAGTGCAACTTCAGAACTCACCTAGATTATAAACAAAGTCCACATTTTTGTAATTTAATCACAGAACAGAGTCGATTGTTCTTTGAAAACCCAGCTGTTTGACATGAAAAAAAAAAACACAGCAGACAGGTCAGGTCTTAAAGGGTGTGTTAGTCAGATGAGATCCAAGCTTCTAGCCAACATGGTGCAGTTAGACAAGGAAAACTAACATGATGGGAACAACATCAGGCTGTGGGAAACATTCAGATGGAGCAGAAAGCCTGTACAGAATTTAGTAGAAGGTGGATGGATTGTTTTGCAGACATTTTTTTTTTATAGCTGGATAGGAACCAAAAACATACAGCCAGACCTACAGAGGAAATATTTAGATCAAATCATCCAAAAAAATGTCTTCCAAGTTGCTCTCCATAGTTACTCTCATTCAGTAAGGCTAACCTTGAGCTACTTTGCAAAAATGAATAGACAAACATTCCGTTCTTGATGTGCATACCTCAAAAGATGGTAATTCTACTAAGTTAGGACTTTGGGCACTAAATAGAAGTGCATGCCCCCTATTTCAGATTTGTATTTTTAAAAACATTCTAAAATCACTGCCTTCTTCCCTTTTACAACTTTATTTTGATCTAAGACATAGACTGCAAGTAAATACATAATATGCCAGGATTCAGAACAGAGGGACCCAGTATTCAAGGCAAGACAGACAGTGGGATAACTCAAAAAGCGTTTATTGAAAAATGGCTATAGAGCTGCAGCGGTTAGGGCATCATAGGTGGGAAACTCTGCGGGAGAGAAACACAGGTTGGTGACAATGTAAATCTAACGGAGGAAGATTATGAACATGAGTCACTAACCTGGTTTACAAGCTCAATCTATGCCCAGAGAACAAGGTAGGATCCAGTCGGTGGGCTGCCAACAAGATGCGGTGGGCGCCGCCCAGAGTGTCCCGGATGGTGCAGCGCCAGAGAACATGCAGGAGTCCGAAGCCTGGTCAGGCAAACAGATCAGAACTGGAACAGGCAGGCTCAGAGGTCCAGGAGTCCAAAGACAGTTTAGGGAAACACTGAGATCAGATGCAGGCCCGGTCATAGAGAGGCAGAACAGGTCAGGATCAGAAAATATAGGAACTATACACACTCCACTTTGTTTAAAAAAAAATATATAAATATAAAAATATAACCGCGGATGTCTGGGGGACAGTGATTCGCCTGCATGTTATGAATGCTGGCATACCATAAATAATGAATTATGAACAGTTTAGTTTGTGCCTTCAACTCGTTGCCCATAGGAAGACGTTACTTGGATATAACAAAACCGAATATCTTCTGTTTCTCTTCTTTAGCACGCCTGATTCAGATGATTACAGTTTAGCATAGTTTAGCTTAATTTGCAATCAATTGATATCAGGTATGTGAAATATGCAGGGAAGCATCTGAAATATGCAACGCAGTGTGCCCTGAGCACCAGGGTTTAAGGCCTATTTTGTGAAGTCATGGTGACATTATGAAAGCCTTGGTTTCTTTGTGCTCGAGAAGACACAGCCCTGCTGATGTTACACGTCTTCTTAACCAACACAGGAGCCAAATTCCCCATCAAGTGGACAGCCCCTGAAGCAGCTCTGTATGGTCGCTTCACAATCAAGTCAGATGTCTGGTCCTTTGGGATCCTCCTCACCGAACTAGTGACCAAAGGCAGGGTGCCCTATCCAGGTGAGGGATGCTCCACACAGAAACACTTACATACAGGACTCTTTCTGATTTAAGATGTCAGCAGGTTGATTCCAGTCTGTCATGTGTTGTCATGCTGCTGTTGATAATATCAGAAGAAAAAGTGAGGCCGTCTGACACTTTGTAAGGTAGCTGTTTTTGGCTCTGTAGGGAGAAATGCTGACACACACTAACACACATGGTCAGACGTGAGATTAGATGAGGCCATCTGGTGGGAGGCGATCAGGGGACCGAACAGCGCAGTTATTAATGGCCATCTGCCGAAGTCATCTGCATGTGTTTTTCATGCAGATCGCCTTCAAGTGTCTTATATGGTGCAGAAACCTTTAAGAGGTTAAATTATTCAGAGATTATTCCGACGCAGAAGTTTACAGTACATGTTTTATTCAGAAAACATTAGCATGTTAAAGTCCAATTTCTCAGTTTACATATCAAAGAAATTGCAACTTTGCTGCATTTCAGTAACAATAAAAGTTGAGTTTGATCTTTACAGGAGGAAAAACCAGGGATATGAGATTCAGGGGTAATTTTAAAAATGCACGCAAAATATATAGTAATTCAAATCGGTGTTTTAAGTTTCTTTGCAAACATAGTTTGATTTAAGTATTTTCTGGACCTGAATGTGTTTGAAAAATTAAACAGGAGTTGTTTTTTTTTTGTATTGTAATCTGTGGATATTATTGTTAGTCTCTTATTTTCTGCCCATCGTCATATGGTGCAGAAACTTTTAAGAGGTAATTATATGACTTTAACACAGAAAATAAAAGTTTATGGTCTATGTTTTTATTTAGAATATCTGGAATACTTGCGTATATTGCTAATTCTTGGACAGAACTCAGATCCCATGTGTTAAAACCAGACCAGTATCAGTTTCTGCAGTGAAATCATCATGATATTTAGTATTTGTAAACATAATATGCTTATATTTATTAAGTGCTCGGAGGAAAATTGGGTCTAAATTTTTTTTTTAAAGTATTTTATGTTAAGTCCTGAGATTTTAGGCTGGTTATCCAGCCCTCACTGTAATCTGTGATCCTGACCCTGCTCCTTTAGGTATGGTGAACCGGGAAGTCCTGGAGCAGGTGGAGCGAGGATACCGCATGCCCTGCCCTCCAGCTTGCCCCGAATCTCTGCATGAGATGATGATGCTCTGCTGGAAGAAGGAGCCAGACGAGAGGCCAACCTTTGAGTACCTGCAGTGCTTCTTGGAGGACTATTTTACCTCCACTGAACCTCAGTACCAGCCTGGAGAAAACCTATAGCCATAAGAGGAGGAAGCTTGGTTGAAGACATTTCAGTACAACACAATTTATTCTGCATTTCATGTTTTTGTTCTTCAATCATCCACTCAGATATAGTTTTTTTATTATTATTATACGTTTATTCTTATGTTCTCACATCTGGTACTGCAACAAATATTAGGTCTTTTTTTGTACCTCTTTATGCAGATTTAGTCGACATGTATAAAAAGATTGTAGGTATTGTAATATGTATTCATGTTTAAATACCAGGCATTGCAGTGTTATGTTTCTGTGAAATAAGCTGTGATTAAACATCCAAAAAAAGAAAATTTTAAGAATTTTGACACTTTAAAGGTTTTGTATTATGGTCCTGATTTTCAGTTCACTACACCAGACTGGGAAATGTCTGGAAAATTATGGAATTTCATTGTTTCCAGTCTGGATAAATATGGATAACAGGAAAAAATGTTGCTTCTTGGCTTTATTACCCATGTCTATTTCTCATAGATTTAGAAACTCTACAACAGCATTTATAGGTTTATCTTCATTCATACCTGAGAGAGGGCAGGGTGCAGGAGCCAGTTCAGTACTTTGAAAAGACAAAGAAAATATACTGAGTTATTAAAGCTTTAGATCCATTACTTTGCAGAAGCAATTTTATCAGAACATTTATTCCCCGATACCGATTTAGGTCATTTTAACCATATGCAGTGGTAGTTCTTATACCTTAACCTTTTATATCCACAAAATTCAGTTGATTTTAAATGTAAAATAACACACTTCTATTTTAACTGCATTACAGCTTCTACACTTTTACTTTAACTGTCCCCAATCAACCCCCTCAGTTATGTCAATCATCATAATGCTGCTTGCTTTTTTCTGAACATTCAGAAATTTTGTTCCAACTCAATTTCTGTTTCACAGCTTCATACATCTACAAATTTCTCAGACTCAACATAATAATAATAGAAAATAAACTACCTTCTTGTTACCGCTGAGGGTTTATTTACAGAGCGGTTTACGGAAATGTTAGGCAACATTTTTTTTAGTTATGACTCTTTGTTACATATTCCAGTTAATCATGTTACCAAACAAAAGGAAGGTGTTTTTTCCTTTATCATTTAGGATTTCATTTTTAGCATTATAACATGTTAAGGCTTTTGGTGCAGCTGCTGTCTAGATTTCAGTGAAGATCATTTATAGGGAAATACAAACTGTTATAGAAAACCCAGATTTGTGAGATTGGGAAAAAAAACCAATATGCACAGCTTACAGTTAAGAAAAAGAAGAAAATGTTCTTGCTGTAGAATATTGAAAATATATTTTTGCCCTGCTCTCTTAGATTATGGCAAACATAAATTAACTTAGACCAACAGCAGATATTCAGGCGAGATCTCTAACACCAGTTATTTTATGCCATAATCTGAACCATGAACCATACATAAGATAAGGACAAGGACATTATCTGTCGCTAATATTATATTCAAATATAAGGTTGTATGTCATCCATACAAATCAGCTACTTTTATTCTTTAAAAATGTTTAGGAAAAGCCTCTACTTTGATGCAATTAAGGTTTTACTGAGTTTTAAATCAAACGGTGCATTGAACTAACCCGTTGTGACCCCAAAATCTCATGCAGGAAATATTTGTCCATCAATAAATTACTTATTATTATAAGGCGCAAATCCCCCCCAAAATAATTGTAATTGTTAATTTTCATATTTAAACTTGCTGGTTTCATGAGCGTATCAGGAAACATGGATAAAATGATTAAATGTATTTACTGCTTTTAGTTTAGCCAAGTCATTGCAGCCTCCAGCTTGTGTACGAACATAGTGTGTATATTATTTTAGAGCAATATTTGTGTTCATCTGGGTCTCTGACTGTTTTAAAAAAGAAGAAAAAATAAAAATACATTTAATCAACATGTTTTTTACTATTACAGTAAATGCCCCAAATTATTGTGGTTAAATTTAGAATTTAGAGCCATACATTCTGTAAGCAGCTCCCAGTCTCATGTTTATCAGCAATTTTAGAGACAATATATTCCCACAGTAGAATTTCTCAGGGGGTTGATGCATTTTACTCCTCACCTGCACAATTTTAAGTCCTTTGTAAGTTGTCTTTGCTCCTTTTTCATATTTATTACTGTAAACATTTCTCAGATCATGCAGGTATTGTATAATAATACCATTTGGAGACTGTCCATCTCTGCACACCACCCAACCAAGCAGCTGTTTGTGTCCTGGTTATTATAATCTCTCTTTATAACCACTCTGTATTGTCTTATTGGTTGGATTGGTGCCATGAACTGGTAAAGAAAATGATGGCCTTTGTGGCTTTCTTACATCATGACTTAAAACATTTCCTCCAGCCATTCGAAGTGGATCTTTGCTGACCTTCGTTTTGAAATAAGCAAAGCTTTTTTTTATCCTCTCAACTGTGACTGCAAAGAACCTTTAGACCGGGATGTTTATGTAACCAGAGGGACTCTGTAAACACCATGTTTAAGACATTGCATTGACATTTTCAAAGTTGTTTTTTTACCCCTAATGTTGCTCTTTTATGGTCTCTGCAGGATTGCATTGAGATGAGAACTCAGCACAGAGCTTGTAAAGGAGGGCTTTGTAAACTACAACATTGAAATGCATTTGAGGGATTGAAAGTGTGGGGAATCCTCTGTTGAATTTGTAGAATAAAGACTTGATTTTACATGGAAACCATTTTAAGACAAGGTTTGTGTGTGTTTTTTTAATCATATTTTGTTTTTTTGTTTTTAAACCAATTTATGGAAGAGGATTAGGACAACTAAAAAAGTCAGAATTATGAGATTTAATCTCAAAATTCTGAATTTTTCTCAGAATTCTGACTTTTTTCTCATATTAAACTGAAATAAGATTTAAAAAATCAGTTAACTTTTTTTTTTTTTTTCAAGGGCACTAATCCTCTTCCATACGGATGGCAGTGAGGAAGGGGTGGGATTATAATCTGTAGTTGACTTTAGAGTGAAGCACTGTAAAGAGTTTGGGTGCTAAAATGTTGCAAAAAATAATTGGTCTAACTGTAAGGGACGTGTGATTTCCGACTTCTCTGGAGCAGCACGGCTCAGATGCGATGGTGAGGAGATTTTACCCAAACACCGGTCAGAATGGGTTCAGATCTAAATAAAGACGAAGTTTTTCTGCCTTGTTTCCACGCTTCAGCACACTGACCCGGATTACTCAGCCGTTTATGTTGTCATAGACACGGACTGTGGGCTCAAAGGTTTCGGTCTCACCTTTACTTTGGGAAAAGGAACCGAGATCGGTAAGAGTTCAAGCAGCTCTAAATAGCGTTTCACGACTTGGAGATTTAACTCTGTGTTGCGTTCAGGTACATAGAAGAAAGTCTGTTATTTAATGCTTTTTGGATTTCAGCGAGGTTGAAAGGTGCGCAGGGGCCAGGCAGGAGGAAACAACACATTGTTAGGCAGAAGATATAAAATAATAACAAACTTTTATGTGAAATAGGACACACAAAGAATATGTATTACCTAAATATTGTCTGTATATCTATTTGCGTGTTAAATTAGCTAAAAACAATGTGCAGTGTTCGCATGTCTTCACTTTTTGTTAAGTATCTTATATAAAATTAATATGTGTAGCCAAGAAATTTGGTTTTGGAAGTCAACCTAAATGCATCAACAGAATTGTAGTTGATACAAAAAAAAAAAAAAAAAGCCAATTTATTCTTAAACTTCCCATTAAAAGTAGCCTATGGATCTTTCTTCGTCGCTGGGGTACATAATATGGAGGACCAACTCTGCCATATTTGAAAATAAATACAGAAATTAATAAATGCTCATTAAATAAATAAACATACAATTAATTGCCCTCAAAAAATACAATAAACAAACAAATGTAGGTAGAAATTAAATTATACAGTGAGATAAATGTATGAATCTCTTTTAATCAGCTTCTTTATTTATTCACCTTTTTTATAATTACCTTATTTATTTATTGTCTGTGATAATCTTCAACTTTATTTATTAATACTTATTTTTTAAGTATCTATATGTGTGCATGATATAATATTTTTGTCTGTTTTATTCTTCCTTTGTATTTTTTTACCCTATATATTTCTTCAATCCTATTATTTCTGCCTGTTTTAACATTTCTGTGTGCATTTCTACCTCATTATGCATATAAGGAAGGCTGTGTCTTAGAAGGTCAACTTCTGCCCATTTAATATTATCACATGCACATAAAAAAATACTTAAAATTAAAAAATAAGTAATAAATGAATAAAGTTTAAGATAATAATGGATAATAAATAAATAAGGTAATTATTACAAAGGCGAATAAATAAACAAGCTAATTTTAAAGAGATATATACATTTGTGTTTCACTGTATAATTTAATTTCTACCTACATTTATGTGTTTATTATATTTTTGGGGGCAATTAATTGTATGCTTATTTATTTATTGAGCATTTATTTATTTCTGTATTTATTTTTAAATATGGCAAAGTTGGTCCTCCATACCCATAATTCCAAATTTTAAATTGTTCCTGACATAGAAATGTTAAAGTGAGAGTCCATGCTTGATAATGGAGACATTGGGAGGACCTGGAGGTCATCATAAATAGATAATCATAAAATTTACAAGGAAACCTGCAGTTTGCTTAATAACATTCATAACAGCTGGCTGATTAATTTAATTCTTAAATTGAATTTCCCATTCCTCAGAAGATTATATATATTTTTAAGTTGCACAGCCAAGCCAAAGAAGTTGCACCGATTTAAAAATAATACAAATTGGACTTCAAGAATCCAAGTGAAAGCATTAAACATTGCTTAAAGCATTTATATTCTATGCCAGGATCATAAAGAGACTGCAGTGCCATTTTGCGGCCAGTAAGTTTAAGTATTGTAATGTGTAAAGTATGAGGTTTCATTAATATTATAAATGTTAGCATTTGTTATATTCATACTTTATAATGCAACATTTTTTTATCTGAAATTCTGCAGTGGTGTGTGCCGTCAGGGCTTTGGAAGGACTGGTTGTTGGGAAATCCTTGCAGGACATTGTGAGCAACTTTCGTGGGTTTTACCGCTTACTGACCAGTGATGGTCAGATGAGATGGGTAAGAAAGTCTTTTAGATTTTTGAATGTAGTCTCTATAGATGTCAGGTGTGCTTGAGGATTAAAGCTGTAGCCCTGCAGCTTTTCCTACTGTCTGACCTAAACAATTTCATTTTTCAGTGATTCCGTTTAAGCCATGTTTTTTTTGTTTTGCTTTTCAAAGGCTTTATGTTCACAAACTATGCTTTGAAGAATATGCACGAAGTATTGGATAATAAAGTCCTTTTTTACACCTTTTACAATTCTAAGGTGAACTAAGGTGATTCAGACGCCAGAAGGGCATAGAAATTGGCTTATAACCTACACAAAAATTGGAACCAGGTCCTAGGATTATCTGTTTCAGGATTCCTTAAGACGATAATTGGTACTCCAACGGCTAAAATATTATAAATATTACAAAAGTCAACTTAACTACATACTTCATTCTTGTTTGCCTATTATTTTATTAAATAATCTGCCATTTACAGATTTTTTTTTTGTCCTCCAAACAAGTCATAGATGACTTCATTTCATAAATATGGTTAGACTTGGTCTCCAAATGCCAAACAGTGAACTTTTTTAGTGGTAAAGTCATTTATGACGCCTTTAAAGTCTAATTTCTTGGCAAGCTGTTGCTGTATAATTTTGTAAAATAAAAAATGTTTTTTTTTTCAGTATATCATCCACTAGCTAGTGGATGATATACTTTAAAATCACGCATTGCTTCTTACCTGGGTCTGAAGGGGCATCATTCATCTCCAATTCCACTCCTGGACCTGTTCCTGACTCATCCTCACTTTATTTTCAATATTTACTCCTAAAAATCCCTCAAGCCTTTGGTATAATCTTCCCTTTTTCTCTTTTCTTTTCTGTGTGACGGACTTCTGAAAACCTAACATTCTTATTTTGCAGCGAAACAAACTTTAAAAGTTGCAGCCCGCTATTGTCCTGGTCGAACCATTTTATGTTGGGTGGAAGTAGTTCTAATGGCCCCTTATTTAAAGAAAACATATTACATATACCTAATGCAGATATATTTATATATTTAGTTACTCTAATATTCAATATTTTTATCACAAATATTTTCTGAAAAATTACTTCTGCCTGTATTTTTAATGATCAGAGTGTCAATTTTGGGCCCCCCTCTGTCCTGGTCTTGGGACAATTGACCTCTATACTCTAGACTGGCAGGCGTGGTCTAGAGTATAGAGTATAGATTTTTATTTTTATTAACAACATATGGAAACCTTAATTGTTTCTCTGCAGAGGTATAAAGCAAAATCCGGTTGTTTTAACATTGGTCTTTTGCTCCTCTGCATCGTTGGCTCTGGTGTCTCTCATCTTCCTCATGATGATACTAAATAATTCCTCTCTGGAGTTCAGATTGAACCAGCTCCACTAACTAGGCAACCATGGTGATACCATAGTGATAAAATCAGGTCTAGGTGTTTTTTACAATGTTAGGGAGCCAATTGCTGCTAAAAACAAAGTTTGCATAAACCTATAAAGCTTGAGGAAAGCATTACATGTCTCAAATTTTACAGTTAGAAACCTTCAATAAACCAACCAATAATCTACTTATAAAAACTATGAAAAACTATTTTGGAGAACATCCAACAATAACTTTTTGCAGCTTATTGTGGATGGCTGTCTGCAAGAAATCTCTTAAAGGCAGTATCCTCTATTGTGTGGGTCATTATGAAAAAAAAAAATGTTTTTTCTTAGTTTTAAATTTTAATTTCATTAGTTGTTGGCAATAGAACATAAAAAGTTATAGGGAGATTTGTCACTGCTGCCACACAGCGCCAAGATGACATATATTTTTGATAATGTAATAATTAGCTCAAAATTAAGTTATTTTAAGAAATATATCCTAAAGAAAAAGACAACATTTTAGGTGGCTGTTTGTCTAGACAGCTGTTGTCCCTGAGCTAATGAGCATTCTTCAATTGGATAAATTATTACTAAATTATTTTCTGTTTGTTGACCTATAAATCTTTTTATTCTAGACAAAACAGATATAAATGCAATAGTGATTTAACTTTTGCACTTTGCACACTTTGCATTTTCTTATCTTTGGTGGTACAGTTGGGCCCGGAGAAAGGGGTGATCCACCTGGCCACTGCAGCGGTCCTGAACGCTGTGTGGGACCTGTGGGCTCGAGCAGAGGGCAAGGTGGGACCTTCATATCAGGCTCTGATGGTAACATTTCCAGTTTTTTCCAGGAGTACAAGACTCACAACCCACTGTCACTGTTTCCCTGTAGCCTCTGTGGAAGCTGCTTGTCGACATGGTGAGTCACAGATTAAATGGATTTACATCCAGGATACGATCACAGAGGACACATGTTGCATCATTTGTCGATTCAGGATCCGAAACAGATCATCTCATGCATTGACTTCAGATACATCACTGATGTCCTGACAGAGGAGGAGGCCCTCGGTGAGACATAGTTTTAGAAGACATCCTGGGGTGTGATCCACTCATAAGCAAGAATCTTACATTGATTTGGGTTTTTAAAGAGGTACATCAACCATTTTGTTTTATGATTTAAAACCATTAAGCTCAGCTGCTTTTTGGGTTTGCTATTGTCTCTAATCTAAACAGGCTCAAAACTATAGATAGCTTCTAAATTACATCAATCTATCTAAACATATCTCTCCTGTAAAATATACTTCATATCAATTTACTTTTTATTTTATCTTTTTTTTTTTTAACCTTTTTTAAAAACCTAAAATATATATTTTCAGTAAAGCTGTTGTCAAGACATTTGAAAAGCTCAAGTTTAGCCTGCTTTATCCTTTCTAAAATTGTTTTTGTTGTCCATTAAATTGGTGCGAACCAATAGTACATATGTCAGCAACTATGCCACTGCATGATGGTGCAACCACTATGCTTGAGGTTTGGCACAGTTTTCTTAATTTTTGTTACATTTTTCATTGACTGTTAGAAACACATTCCTTGTCATTTGTGAAATCAAGCTCGTTTGTTTTAATCATTAAAACTTCCCCCCAATTAAATTTGGTTTTTGTGAGGGCCTCTTTAAATTTTAGTCATTTTTAGTTGTTTTAATTTTGTTTTGGTTTCTTCTAGGAGTGCTTTATGCTAGGAGTTGCTTCACTGTGCATGGTGAGACTGGTACTTAAATAGCTTTTTGCAGAATTGCAAAGCTGGCACCTTACTACCGTAAGCTGTTTTATCTGGATCATTCTTACAAGTTTCCTTTCCTCTCTGGATCAGATGGTTGATATAACCTAACCCTACCCTAACAAAGGTGGATTGCCAAAAGGACTAAGGTCTTTTGTACGAAAACTGGACTTGAAATGACCGAATCAGTTAGAATTAAGCTTTACGTTTGGGCTCCAAGCCAGAGCCATAACTGTATTCATAATTCTAATCTCAAACTTGTTCCAACTCTTCTTCTTTTAGTTAAATTGCAAATGTCTTAATGCTTGACAGTCAGTCCAACCTAGAAGAAGAATGGTTAAAATGTGTCTTTATAATCCCTCGATGGGTGTCGGTAAACCCCTTAACTGTGCTGTATATCCTAATGAGACTAAGGTAAACTTGCACTTTTTTCTTCCCTTTCTTTTACCAGAAATACTTATGAAAGCAAATGAAGGAAAGCAGCAGAGAGGTGAGTAAAGCCATTCATTTCCTAAAGTATGATTTAAATTGAATCACATTTAGCCAACTTAAACAGTTTTGGTAAAACCTATTGAAGGTCATTTTCTAATTATGTAATGACTTCTAGAGGATCAGATGCTGAGCCATGGTTACCCTGCTTACACCACCTCCTGTGCATGGCTCGGATACTCTGACCAGCAGCTTAAACAGGTAAGAAGTCATTACGACATGACCTGCGGTGTTTCTACTCCAGTTCTTCTTTTCTTTTATTATGTTTTCCTCCAGCTTTGCACAGATGCTCTTCAAAACGGTTGGACCAGATTTAAGGTGAAGGTTGGCGCTGACCTGGAGGATGACATTCGACGGTGTCGTCTCATCAGGCAGATGATTGGACCCAGTAACACACTGGTAAGGTAGTGTGCACCTTCAAACTTGCAGTGGTAAATAAAAAAGCCCCATTTTAAAAACATTTTTTTTGTCAGATGATTGATGCCAACCAGAGATGGGACGTAGGCGAGGCCATCAGCTGGGTGACCAGACTGGCTGAAGTCAAACCTCTTTGGATCGAGGAGCCCACATCTCCAGATGACATTCTTGGTCATGCAACAATTTCAAAGGTGAAAAATGTTTATTTTTTGCTATTGCCAGGTATTGTCATACGCTGGAACATATCGGGATTTTATTCTGACAGTTCAAATCCAGAGAAGCAAACTTTGACAGGAGAGCTTCTAAAACTTTTTCCTGCTAAAATAGATTTTATATCTTTTTGTTCATGAACAACATATAATTTGACATTTTTCAGGAGTTTGTGTGCACTTAAATTAAAATGTTTTCAGATGTGGTGTCCATTATGTTTTTTTTTTTTATATTTTTTGGTTAGTAAAGTCTCCCCCTTTGTATTTTGGATAACTTTCCTTTTTCTTTTTGTATCTTTATTTGTGTTTTCAGAATTTCTGTTGCAGCTGAAGTTGTAGTTTGTCTCTCTAAATGATGTGTCTCCTTGTGGCTGTTTTTCAAGAATATTTTGACGTACTTGTTGGGATAAGTTCTCATATCTGCATTGCTATAAAATGCAATAGCAACAAAAGCCAAGGTCCTTTTTACCCTAACTAAAAAGACTGCAACTCTTATCTCAGGCTTTGGCTCCACTTGGGATTGGGGTGGCCTCCGGCGAGCAGGTTGGAGCTTAAACATCTTCTATGCACTTAAAAGTATGATTGATTGGCAGGATTTTTCACTCAACATAACTCATTGGGGTTTTTAATCCTCTAGTGTCACAATAGGGTGATGTTCAAGCAGTTCCTGCAGGCTTCAGCGCTGCAGTTTGTGCAAATAGACAGCTGCCGGTTGGGCAGTGTCAATGAGAACCTGGCTGTGCTGCTGATGGCCCATAAGTTCAAAGGTAAACTTTAGGACTTTGGTTTCTGATCATTCGCCACATAGACTTAAACCTTTAATAGCCTAGTTTTTTAATTTAACACCAATTTATACTACATAATGTGGCCACGTTCAAGACAAACACATACAGGTCATATTCCATTTGAATGATTTTATCGAATTAAATTACAACTTTACAACTTTGTTTCACTGCTGTCAAGTTATATTTGGATTGAATTATACAAAATCCAATTCAGCACAAAGTCAAACACAATACAAGTAAATTCCACTGCTTATTCAACCCCAATAAAAAGAAACTCAAACCTGATCCTGTGCAAGCATTTGTCAACTTTGGAGAAAAATGGCTGCCTTATAACATAACTACCTTATCAGAAACTTCCAGGAGATACAGATTCAGTATGGTCATCCATCTGCAGTGACTGATTGAGTGATGAGAGGAAGCAGACAGACAAAATGAAGACAATAATCAAAGTATTAATCGTTCTTTGTAGGAAATTAAAAGAAGCAGAAATGGCTCTTCTAATGGGTGTCTTAAGAAAGAGAGGCATCTAATCAGAAATAAAGAGCCACTTATAATGGAAAAATAGTGAAGGGCTCAGAGTTAATTTAAATAACAGATCTGAAAGTGGGTTATTGCACAAAAGAGACAGATAAATCCAATCCCAATGAGATAAGCAAAAAAGCAACATCTCTGTTACCCTAAACTAAGAAATACTGAGGCAGGGATGGATTTCTACAGATGGGAAAAGAGAATGCAGTTAGAAAATAGTTTTTTGACACAACTTCACACAAAGACCTTTCTTATATATCCAGTTAATTTGATTGTAAGGTCAAAACCTAAGATACAGTTTAAAAAACGACTCCCACAAATAAGAAATGATCAATTCTGATAAACTAATCCTCTTAAATATTTAAATTATTTGGGTAAAGATAGAAAAATGGTCAGATTGGTCCCAATGGTTGCAAATGGTAACTATATTATGACTCAACTGGATTTTAGCTTATTTGCTTTCTTCAAACATGGTGGAAAAATAATAGTAAAAGAAAAAAAAAAAAAGAAAATGATAAAAATAAGTGATATGTCACACAGAGCAGAAGGTAGTATTAAAAAGTTGGTTTCATCATGTTGGTGCCTCCATCATTTTCTAACAGTGCTGTTTATTTGTTGCTTCAGTGCCTGTGTGTCCTCACGCTGGAGGGGTCGGTCTCTGTGAGCTCGTCCAGCATCTTATCCTGTTCGACTACATCTGCGTGTCGGCGGATCTTAGCGGCCGGTGAGGTGGTGCTGGAATCAGTGACCGCCATTAATGTTCAAAACATTTGACCTACCTTTGATGCCTTTGCAGAATGTGTGAATATGTTGACCACCTCCATGAACACTTCAGCAGCCCTGTGGTAATCAGAAACGGCCACTACATGCCCCCAAAGGTAAAGAAATGACAACACACCTCTGATTGTATTTTACTGCAGGGTCTTGCTCCAGTAATGTTAACTTTTACATATTTTGTCCTGTTTAAACAGCTGTCAGTTTATTTTCTTGGGATTTTATGTAAAAAAATAAAATCTCAGAGGTGTGTAAGTGGAAAAAAACGGCATTAGGGAGGACAAGGAACACAAAAGACTAGAGAGGAACATGTGGGGAAGTTTATAATGGGGTTAGGTTATAAAACTATAGCTCTTTCATTAATTTACATGATGCTAAAAACGTCATACTTTAGACTAAGTTTACTTAAGCAGGGACAGGTCTTAATTGATGCACAGGTGGATGAAGCTAAATACAGGGCTTTATTGGGAGAAGCTGTAGAGGCTGCAGAAGAGTTGATGGTTTCACCTTCCAGCAGGATTGAACTCATTTGAGTTTCTTTAAAAAAGGTAGCTGAATACAAAGGCACCCCACTCTTTATAGACTTATTTTGGATCTTTCCTGTCACATAAAAGAATAAGATTTTTTAATGTATATGGAAAAAATGTGAAAAGTGTACAGGGGTGTGAATACTTTTAAAATGCATTACATGTATTGCCCTGTTTTCAGGATCCAGGCTACTCCTGTGAGATGCTGGAGTCATCAGTGCAAAGACACGAATACCCCAAGGGAAACGTTTGGAAAATGGAAAACAAGAAATAAGGATTTTATCATAAATAAACCACTTTTAAACATGACCCAACTTCATTATAGATAAATAATCATAAATCATCAAAGCTGAAACTTTATCAGAAAAGCTTAAGAAGGTTCTTTTTACACGACTCAATTTTTCAAAAAAGTATTTTATTTACAAAATGTATAATTTACCACTTAAAATGTGGAAAACACAGTAAAGCGTTAACATAAGGAAACGTTTTCTACATAAAGTGAAACGGTTTGTACCCAAAATAATGCAAAACAAAGTCTTGAATAAAACCTATCTTGTCAAGTTTTAAAAGGCACACAGTTAAGCTGGGAAAATGATCGTCCCTAACGTTTCAAGGATTTGGTTTCACACAGCCATCTGCATCTTTATGGTGGGGTGCGGGTTGTAGTCACAGATCTCAAAGTCCTCCGCCTGGAAGTCATCGATGCTCTCTACTTTTCTCTTGATTTTTAGCTTCGGAAATGGACGAATCTCCCTCTGCAGCTGCACATTTAAATGGAAGATTGGGCGTTTCAGAATCCGAACAAAATCAGACAAATGTTTTTTGCTGAACCGGTTGAGTTAACCCACCTGCTCTTCTAGAGGTTTGACATGGTTGACGTAGATGTGAGCGTCTCCCAGAGTGTGGACAAAGTCACCTGGCTGCAGGAAACGACAGATGTGAGAGGATGGAAAACACAGCAAGGGGCTAAACACACAAGGCTCTCGCCTCTGCCGTACCTTAAGTCCTGTGATATGTGCGATCATGTAGGTGAGAAGGGCATAGCTGGCGATGTTAAAAGGCACCCCTAGGCCCATGTCGGCCGAGCGCTGGTACAGCTGACATGACAGCTCTCCATCACAGACATAGAACTGGCAGAGGGCGTGGCAGGGGGGCAGAGCCATAAGAGGTAGGTCTGCAGACCACACAAAGGATGTTAAAACGAAAGTTACGTATGTAACTACGGTTCTATGAATGCCGGATGACCGCCAGAGGGCGGTGCTGAAAGCACTGAATGTTCCCTTCGGGCATGCGCAGTTCGAGTAATTATACCAACAGAGTCACACCTGTGACACCGGATGACCACTCAGAAGCTATATAGCCTGGTGTCATCCTTTGCTCTGCTCCTACAGAATCTTCTCGCAAAAGCAAGGATTCTGAGTGACAGAGAAGCTCTGGCGGTCATCCGGGATTCATAGAACCGTAGTTACATACGTAACTTTCGTTCTATTTCATCCCTACTGACCGCCAGAGGGCGGTGCTGAAAGCACTGAATGACTAATGCCAACGATGTCACAAGGAATCCTGAGCACATACCTCACAGAGGAGGCCCAGCAGAACCTTGTAAAAGGACCTGACCCAGGGGATGAGGGGCAGCCACATTGACACTGTAGAACCTGGTGAAGGTGGTTGGGGAAGCCCATGAAGCAGCAGCACATATAGCTTCCAGCGGAACCCCTCTCAAAGCAGCCCAGGAAGCGGTGACGCTCCTGGTGGAATGTGCTCTCACACCGACTGGCAGGGAGCAGTGACCTGCAGCGTAGGCGTGGCAGATGACACTCACAATCCAATGGGACAGACGCTGTTTAGAAAGAGGACAGCCTAACCTTGGACCCCCATAGCATAGGAAAAGCTGGTCCGAGCGTCTCAGATTGGCGGTGGCTGCAATGTATGCCTCCAACGCTCTTACTGGGCACAACAACTCCGACTCATTCTCAGTTGTACCAGATTGAGGCTGAAACCGAGCGAGCCGCAATGGCTGGTTACGGTGAAAAGGAGACAACACCTTAGGCACAAACGCAGTATTAGGCCACAGGGTAACACCAGAGCCATCTGGATTCCACCTGATACACCTAGGGCTGACAGAAAGAGCATGTAGCTCGTTGACCCTCTTAGCTGAGACGATAGCCATCAGGAAAGCAGCCTTGCAGGAAAGCCACTTGAGTTCTGCTTGTGCCAAAGGCTCGAATGGAGGGTGGCACAGAGCTGTGAGAACCAATGGCAGATCCCAATCTGGGGCTCGTGGGGCTGGCCGCTGGCACAACCTACGAGCACCACGCAGAAAAAGTGAAACCAGTTCATGGCGCCCCACTGTACGGTTGTCAACAGTTCGGTGAAGACATGAAATTGCTGCAACATACACTTTAAGGGTCGAAGGAGAGCGGCCCTTATCAAGGAGAGACTGGAGGAACTCCAAAATAGTGGGCACCGAGCAAGAAAGCGGGTTCTCATTGTGGGCAGAGCACCACTGAGAAAAGAGGCGCCATCTGTTAGCATACTGCAGCCGAGTGGAGGAAGCCCTAGCACTCAATACGGTGTGTCTCACGGTGTCTGAACACCCAGTCAGCCTCCCAGGGGCCATGCCCACAGCTGGAGACGTTGAGGGTTGGGGTGCCATATCTGTCCCCCCAACTGAGACAGCAGATCCCTCCTTGCTGGAAGACGCCATGGAGTACCGTGACACAGACTCCAAAGCAGCGGGAACCACGGCCGCGCTGGCCAGAACGGAGCTACCAGCAACACTCTGTGGCCCTGCTCGAGAACCCTCCGTAGAGTCGGCCAAACCAGTGAGAGGGGTGGAAAGGCATACAGGAGAACCTGCGGCCATGGATGAGCCAGTGCATCCTGGCCCAGTGCGCCCGCCATCCCGGTTAGGGAATACCATAGGGGGCAATGGGTCGACTCCTCTGTGGCGAACAGATCTACCTCTGCCTGCCCAAAGAGGTTCCAGATTATGCGCACTACGTCGGGGTGAAGAGACCACTCTCCCGGAGCAGGTGCCTGGCGGGATAGAGAGTCCGCAACCTGGTTCTGCCGTCCTGGCAGATACGCTGCGCGCAGGGTACACAGACGGGGATACGCCCATTCCAGGAGATCCCTCAACACCTTCAAGAGACGTGCTGACCTGGTGCCACCTTGGTGGTTTATATGATAAACAACAGAGGTGTTGTCTGTCTGAATCAGCACGTTCCTTCCCTCTAGGTGGGGCAGAAGGCACCTGAGGGCCATGTGCACAGCCCGCAGCTCCAGCACATTTATGTGTTCGGTGCGCTCCCTTGGGTCCCAGAGACCCCGAACAGCTCTGTGTTGCCACACGGCACCCCAGCCCATGAGGCTGGTATCCGTGGTGACCACCTCCCTTCGACACACTACTAGCCCCATTGGAACACCACTGGACAAAAGGGTCCCGTCTCGCCAAGGAGCTAGGGCATGGAGGCAGCTCCTGGTCACCATTAGCCTGCGATGCCTGTGCAGCCTGGCATCTAGGCGAAAGCTGTTGAGCCATCGCTGCAAAGGACGCAGAAGGAGCAGCCCTAAGGGCACGACACGAGTGACTGATGTCAGTTTGCCCAGCATTCGCAGGAAGGTGATGTAGGGAAACTCCCTGCCCAGTCTGAATCGACGGACAAGCTGGAGTATGTCGTCCACCCTGTGAACAGATGGACGGGCCATCATGGTAGCAGAGTCCAGATGCATCCCAAGAAAGGTGGTTGTCTGAGATGGAACCAGACAACTCTTTGCCAAGTTGACTTTGAGGCCTAACATTGACACATGAAGTAGAAGCTGGGACGTATCCCGAGAGGCAGCTACCTGAGAGGGAGCACAAAGAAGCCAATCGTCCAGGTATGGCAGAATCCTGACTCCGGAGGCCTGTAGAGGAGAGAGGGCTGCTTTCACGCATCGAGTAAACACCCTCGGGGAAAGGTAGAGCCCGAATGGGAGCACCCGGAATTGCCAATGGCGCCCCCGTTAGGCGAACCTGAGAAAACGGTGATGTTCTGCCGCAATAGGCACGTGAAAGTAGGCGTCTGTCAGATCTACTGATGTAAACCAATCTCCCGCCACAATGGTCTGAAGGACCTCTGTTATGGTGAGCATGTGGAAGGGAAGGACCTTCAGGTACCGATTCAGTCCCCTTAGATCTAAAATGGGGCGAAAACCGCCGGTCTTCTTGGCCACAAGGAAGTATGTGGAGTAGTAGCCTCTGGGTTGCTGCAGAGGATCTACAGACTCGATTGCCCCCTTGCCCAGGAGGGCGGAAAGCTCCTGGTCTAGTGCCTGAGATTTCACCGGGTCTGGGATGACAGTCATCTTGACCCGGTGTGAGAGGGGGGGCCGCCGTCGGAACTGGAGCCTGTAGCCATTGGTTAAGGTGGCAACCACCCATGGATCTACGGCATGAGCAGCCCAGAAATTCAGCTGCTGATGGGAAAAATGTCCGACGGCTGGCCCGGTGGCATCATCTTCTATCCCCACGGCCCCTGGGGGCTCTGGGGGGAGGGCGTCCAGGATTTGAGGCCCGGGTCTGTCTAACAGGGCGGCAGACTGGCTCACGAAAGTCCCTTCTCGGTCTCTGCCGCACATCATGGGGATAGGAACCAACAGGTCTGCCACCGGTCTGAGGTCGTGGCTGAACGCTGGGGGTAGTGGCAGGGCGGCCCGAACGCTGGGGAAAGGCAGGTATGCTCCTGCGAAGGCCGGAAAGCTGCTGGCTAGTCTGACGTGCCTGAGCAGTCTGTTCCAGCGCCTCCAAGGCAGCTGATCCAAACAGCTCCCCTGGTACAACCGGGACACCCCTGAGGGTCCTACGGCATGCTTCAGTCAGAGGAGACTGTGCCAACCAGACCTGTCTACGAGCTTGGACAAGGAAAGACATGACCCGTCCAAGCTCTCTGGTCATCAGCGCGAAGGCCTGCAGCGCTGCGTCACTATAACCAATCGCCGCACTTGCACCACCAGTGTCCTGAACAGATGCAGACAGGGCAAACATGAGGTGCGCCAGGGAATTGCCAAGGCGGCCAGCACGCGCTCCTGCATTGTACGCCTTACAGAGGAGGTCATCTGTAACCCGACATTGAGTCCGCGGGCACCGGACATCAGGACGCAGGGCTTCATCTGGTGACACAATCAGTGAAGCAACAGCTGGTTCAATTGCTGGCATACGGTCCAGGCCGGCCTTCACTGACTCATGCATGGCAGCTAATACACGACCATCCGAGGAGAGACGCGACAGCGCTCTCGGTTCCCGCCAACAGGCGTGTAACTCCTTCAGGTACTCCTCTGATGGAGGTACAGAAAAAGGAGTAGGAGCCCTTCCACGTCTGAAAAAAGCACTGCCAGAGCTGGATGCCTCTCCTTGTGGGAGTTCCAGCTGCAGCTGCTTCAGGGCCATAGACATGACCTCCCGCATGGAACCGTCACCGGCCTCTCCAACCGCACTCTGAGATGAAAATGAACCAGCCTCAGAGGCTTGAGAGGACCCTGCCTCCTCCTCATCTCTAAAATGAGAAGCGGAGGCAGCCAGAGAGATAACGTCATCCTCTACAACCAGCTCGGGCATTGGTGGGGAAGAGAGCCCAACCACTGGGAGCGAGGGATCAGATTGCCGTGTCTGCAACAAGGACTTCATCTCTGCCAGCTCTGCTGACAACTGCTCCACCCTTGTGGACAGGCCCTGGTCAGGTTTGGCCCGCTTCCTCCGGGGGAGGGGCACAGATGCTGTGGTCCCACCACGGCGCTTAGAACGCTTGGGGGGAACCACCTGCCCAGAGGGCGGAAGGTCCGAGCCCTCCTGGGGGCACAACTGGGCCAACCGGGCCACCCTCACTGCATGGGGCATAAAGCTGCAGTTCATACAGGGGTTCTCAGACAGCGCCTCCAAAAGGTGCTCATGTCCAAGGCAGGTAGGGCACAGGTCGTGGCCATCCTCTGCCTGCAGGGCAGCCCCACAATCTATGCAGCTGTGAGAGCCATCCATGTCGAAGGCCGACAAGGCTTAAAGAACAGAAAGTTATCGAAAATCGGGAGAGGGGGCGCAAACGCAGCCGTCACCAATTACAGCAGAGAAACGAAAGAGGCTGCGAGCACAAGGCAGCCGATACTGGGAGAGGGGGCGAGAACCGCTACCGTCACCAGGTATAAAACCAATAAACCAAAAAAGCTAACAACGTTAGCTGTATGGAAACTTAAGTTGGAAGTAGGAGCGAACAACGCTGCCGTCACCAATTATAGCGGATAAAACAAGAGAGGCTGCGGACACAAGGCGGCCGATACCGGGAGAGGGGGCGAGAACCGCTACCGTCACCAGGTATAAAAGCAATAAACAAAAAAAGCTAACAACGTTAGCTGTATGGCAACTTAAGTAGGGAGTAGGAGCGATAAACGCTGCCGTCACCAATTAAGAGAGCAGACCAACGAAAAGGCTGCAAAAAAAGGTTGATATTGGGAGAGGGGGCGAAAACGCTGCCGTCACCATTTATAATTAAGCAGACCGATGAAGAAGGCTGCAAACAAACCAAAAAAGGCTAACAACGTTAGCCGTCTCCAACTTCGGCAACGAAATAGACCACACTTGGTTGGGAGAGGGGGCGAAAACCGCGGCCGTCAGTAATTATAGCAGCGCAGACCGGTGAAAAAAAGGATGCAAAAGTAGGGAATATACTGGGAGAGGGGGCGAAAACCGCTGCCGTCACCAGGTATAACACCAACAAACTAAAGAAGCTAACTACGTTAGCCGTATATAACTTCGGCAGTGAAGTTATTCACACTGGGAGTAGGGGCGAAAACGCTGCCGTCACCAGTTCGGAACAAAACAGCACGAAGCTGTAGGTAAAAAGCTAAAGTCGTGAGCCGGGAGAGGGGGCGCGGACGCTACCATCACCAGCAAACAACTCACTTACCTTCCGTAATCTTCAGAATCGACCCGTTGCAGCCCTGGGAGGGCGGAGAATAACCGCAACTCCGGTCAAGAGACAGGGGCTTCAGACAACGGGGAAGTTAGCGAACCGCTTGCGAGAAGAAAAAAGGAGCAGAGCAAAGGATGACACCAGGCTATATAGCTTCTGAGTGGTCATCCGGTGTCACAGGTGTGACTCTGTTGGTATAATTACTCGAACTGCGCATGCCCGAAGGGAACATTCAGTGCTTTCAGCACCGCCCTCTGGCGGTCAGTAGGGATGAAATAGAACCCAAACCAGGTAATCAGCCCTCAGAGGCTCCCCTCTAATAAAAACATAATGCCAACCCACCTTTGGGGTTCCATGCACACATGATGATCCGCCGATCCTCTGGGTTTTTCTTAATGGTGTCGATGATATTCTGCAGCTGATCCACACCTTGTCCTGAGTAATCTGTTGGAAGAATAGGTTTGGATCAATAACAGAACAAACGCAGCAGGTTAGGAAACAAAGAAAGGGACAAAATCTAAATATTATCATGAATATTATTATATGTGTCTATTTTCAGGTAAGCATCAAACTGAGGCAACCCATTCTAAAACCAGGATAATACTCCTCAGCAATCTGAGCAACAGTAGCTCGAGTATTTTCCTCTTATGGTCTTTATGCTGGATCACCATATCCTTTACTAGACCACTGTTACTAGATGCAGACCACTGCAGAGTGGGAAGAGCTGCAGTTCTGAAGATACTTTGAAACGCGAAGGCCAGATTTCACTATCTGGTATTTTGTAAATCCTAAAGCAGGAAAACACTTGCATTTTTTTTTTTATTCCTAAAGTATCAACTTAAAGACTGGAAGCCACGTCCAATTTCTGCCTAGAGGATAACAAGATTTAAATGTAGGACCAATGTCATGTAGGACCAGCATACACAGTAAACACAGCAAGAGCTGCTTTGATCCACTTTATGATGTGGCAAATATAAATGAGTTCAGTTGGCATTAAGACATTTTTATGACTACATTTTTATAATGTCACCCTCTCCTTAAGGGAAAAAGTCCATGTCATAAAAATGGTTCTCAGGGTGGGGGGGGGGGGGTTTTAAATGCAAATAACAATTGTTTTTTTTCTTTTCCCTTTTTCCTGTCTATTTGGCTGGGAAAGCGGAATTAATTTCTTACAGTTTCTGAACTGAGGACTTCGCGAGAAGTCATTTTGTATTTATATGTGTAAATAAACTAGTATTTAAATGGTTGGCTTATGTAATGAGGCAAAAAACTAATGTTCAGCTCTAAAAATTGTACAACTCTGCCACATGCTGGCTTGGACTGGTACCTGCAGTATGCTGCAAGTTTGTTTTTGATTGATTTTCAAAGTGCTTTCGATACAAATATAGATTTAAATGACTAATTTATATATTTTTTTAAAAGTTATTGAGAAATCTAATTTTATCTTAAAAATACTACACGTGTTTACATTGCAGTACCTGTGTGCATGTTTTTGTACTCTGCACCAAAGTGCCTCCACTGGAACCCATACACAGGTCCGAGGTCCCCCTCCTCTCTCTCTGTGAAGCCCAGGCTGTCTAGGAAGGCACGGGAGCCGTTGGCATCCCAGATCTTTACTCCCTTCTCCGATAGCTCCTTTGCATTTGTTGATCCCTGTGGCATTTGAAACAAATGTTAGAGCTTCATTGACCAAGATGCATGTAGAAAACAAAGCAACAAATTTGGATTTCCCCCATCATCTCACCTTAATAAACCATAGTAACTCCTCCAGGATGCCTTTCCAGAAAACTCTCTTTGTTGTCAGCAAGGGGAACTGATCTGCAAAGAAACCATTAGGTTAAAGGATGCAGATGTAAATGCAGAAAGCTGAAACCTAAATGTCACTTTTATTGCAATTTATAACTGGGATTGAACTGATAGTGTAGCATAGTGTCTTGCAATAGAATTAATATATTTTCAACCTTTTTTTTTTATGAATTAGTCTTCTTGTAGGTTGCTAGAATTTAAAATGACAAGTTTTCGGGAGGTTTTTATGTGATAAGGCAAACCAAATGTTCCCACTTATATGTTGGTTCACACTTTGAACAATTCTGTTATAGAATATGCTGTAACATAAATGATGATGTTGTTGCTCTGGCTGTTGATGGAGTCACTGTTATGCTGGGAGCTGATCTAGGACCGGTCTCTTCTGCAGCCTCGAACAGATTCGTTTTGGGTTTGTCTTAAATTTGTTTTCCCACAGATTATTTTAAACTTTAAAAAAAATTCTGCCAAGGAAAGTCATCCTAACAGCATGGAATAAGCAACACACTGATTAAAACATGGGTTAAGAAAAATCTGCACAAGGAAATATGTGAATTCAGTTTTTTTTTAAAGTCATGTGATCCGAGGAGCAAAGTGATGAACTATTAGCGCACAATGTAGCCATTTACTTTTCCAATAAAATATTAATCAGCGCATCATTTATGGGGCCACAAACCTGGCGCCCCCACCCGGAAGGACACATTATTTGGACGGACTGTCCGTCAGCCAAATGTCTCCCCCCAAAAACAAACGTTCGTAGCGTGGTTTTTTATTATTATTATTATTTTTATTTCACATAGAAGTTAATTAAGCAAACGCTTTACAAACCTAAAATAAAAATACGCCCTCATTTTCCAAACTACCTGTACTGTTCGAAGAAGAGGGAGGACATAACGGAAGGGAGCAATTTTAGCGCGCACAAATTTTGAAAGCATTTATCATTTCCATTTTAAAGAAAGTGATTTTTTTTTTTCCTATCACAGACTCGGTTGGAAATGTAACATAACGTAAATGCACGGTATTTCTGGACAGTTTTTACTGGGGACCATCACAAAAAACAATAAACAGATGCCTGTCAAACGACCTAACATGTCAATAGCTAAACTCACAGGCTCATAAACGGAATAAAAATGTATCATTTCAACATGCCAGTTATAATAACATTGCCACACACTTTGTCCACGATCACCGATTTAATTTACCGATAAGAAAATTATCCCAGCATCTATTCTACAGCTGTCTTTTAAATTCTTTGAAATGAGCTGGTTATGCTTTATTTAAGTCTTTTCTGAACAAGCTGTTAGGCTGTACCTCGTAAGCTGTATCGGACTTGAGCTCCGAACACAGACAGGACTCCTGTCCCGGTTCGATCCCCCTTCTTGCGACCCTTCGCCAGGATGTACTCCAACAGATTCAGGTAACCGCGTTCATCGCACAAAAAGCCGAAATTCTCCTTATCGGCAACCGTCTTCTTCTCCGTCACGGGGGAGGCTTCCAACTGCCTCTGTTCAGTGTGTATTTCAGAAGTGGCGGGCATTTTAAAGGATTATAGATGAGAACTCCTCACACTCAGATATTGTTTTTAAAGTTTCCCGGGTATTTTCTCATTTTATAGTCCAGAAGACCCGCTTTTTTCCTCAGCCTATAGAAAGCAGGGTAGTTACTTCAGGAGGTTCTCAAACCAGCCACGTGATTGGTTGAGCGTGTATACTTATGTGAACGTCACCGCAGTGAACGCTATGGTGGTCCAAGTCTGTTTATGAATAAATGCAGAGCATTTTTTTTAAGTATTCAAAAGGCATACATTACATTAGGCGTGTTAACGCAAATAGTGAGGCAAAGAAATAAATAGATTTACAGCACAGATATAAAGGAAAAAATATTGCAATCACAGAATTTCTGGCAGCGAAATAAGCGCTGCAAACACATAAACATGATGCAACCCCTTAAACCAGCTGCAAAGACATAAATGATGCAAACACAGTAAAAAAAAAAAAAAAAAAAAAAAAAACTACACAAGGTAAAAATGCTTAATGAAAAAAAACAACTGCAAGCTGAGAGAAGCTGCAAACCAGCTCTGTATAACAGAAGTTCATGTTCCAGACTGAAGGATTCAATTAGTGCCCATACCGCTAGGGGGAGACAATCATTAACTAATTGAGACCAGACCATAGACATTCAATGAATGCAGGGGTCTTCAACTTTTTCCTGGCCAAGGACCCCCAAACTGATGATAAGATGGAGCGAGGACCCTCTAATTATATATATATATTGTATGAAATTGTGTTATATCAAATGGTCACTCTATTACAGACGGAGTAATGCATCCTCGTAGATGCGACAGGTGTTGTGAATGAAATGGTGCCCCGCTTGAACGATGTCCTCTGTGTCGCTGAATGCCTGCATTGATGACTGAAAGACATCTGCCTCCATTTATCTGTTTAAAACAGTGTGTTGAATTCATGTTAGTGTGTATTTAAAGACATTTCAATTAGTGGAAAATATTGCAGCTGGGAATATAAAAAATAAATCTAATCAATGAAAACTTTCGCGACCCCCATGCAGTACCTCTAGGGACCCCCTAGGGGTCGCAGACCCCCTGTTGAAGGCTTCCGAATTAATGTCTATTAACCAGACCTTCAGCAAACATAAATGGAATGCCCATCCAGAAGACATTTGAGCATTTGAGAAATTCTTTGAGATAGACTGCCTATATGAATACCGAGGTATTTATACTCCTCCACCACCTCCGCTTCTTCTTCCATTACGTTAATATGATTCCGCCTGTTTATATTTCCTTTGAAATCTACAATAATCGTCCTTGTTTTGTTGAAATTCAGGATCAGATGATTTTTCACCACAAAGTGATTGACCAGCTCTCAGTACTCAGCTTCCTGTCTGTTTTCATACAACCAATGACTGCAAAGTCATCCGAGTATTTCTGCAGTTAACAAGACTGTGTCTGCTACTGGAATTCAGATATGTACAGAGTAAAAAGAAATGTTTAAAATATCTTCCCACAAGGACAGCTGACCCCTCATTCAGACTAACTGCACAGTCTGTTGGCCAGGTAGTCTTTGATCCAGGCAATCATTGATGTCTCTACCTGAGTCCTCTGGTGTTTACGTCAGGCTGAATTGTGTTATAAGCATTTGAGAAATCAAAGGAGACATCACAGTGCTGTCTGCTTCATCTAAATGACAGTAGGTTTCTTGGACCTTCAGGACATGGGGTGTCAGGGCAACACGTCCATAATCAAAATTTGAGTTAGATTAGAAATTATAACAGGCAGAGCTTTCTTAAGGAAGGTTATGGGTGAAACATAAAGACAACTGACAAACTACCTCACAATAGAAGTAGCGGGCCACCACAGACTGGTAAAACATCTGCAGTAGTTTTTAGCAGGTGTTGAATGAATACAGCCTTTTCAGAAATTAGAAATAGCTCAGCCCTCACCTTTGAAAACATGTTTTAGAAAGTCAGCAGTTGCTTTTGGGTCCAGCCAGCTGCTGCTCTACATCCTAATCACCTCCGTTCAACTATCCCCATCCCCCCCCCCCCCCCCCCCCCCCCCCCCCCCCACACACACACACACACACATGCCCACACACACATACATTATAAAATTAATTGTTTTGTCTTTCGTTTTATTGTATTTTCATCATATCAAGCGCTTTAAAATAAGATTCCTCAATTTTGCTTTTGACATTTTTCCAGTACCTAATGGTAAGGATAATTCATTAGAGCCTATAGAAGGAAAACATAAAATGATTCAATCAAACAGTCTTGCCCTAAGAACATTTCATACTCTAAGAATGAAAGACCAGAACTTGGACAGTTCTCCCAAAATGATTTATTTTTACATTTTTAACAAAACATAACATCCAAATGATGTACAGTAGGATGAAAAGACTGGACTGTATTTTTCTTTGAATTTCAGATGAATGTACTCAGATGTGGAGTTGGTAACTCAATTCCCGTAGATTATATAAAAAAATATCATAGATTTTTAAAGTAAAATCAGTATAGAGATCCACTTTATCATTAAAATAGCTAAACTATCAATGTTTTTAAAAGATTTCTCACTGTTTTAATTTCAGCTCTCTGACATGCTATACAGGACAGTATGGGTACCTCTTATTTGCTGCTTATAGTGGGTCAGAGCCTGCTGAGCAATGTATTCAATGAACGCAGGATCCTCCAGCATCAAATTTGCTGGGATCTGGACAGTTAGAGGGGCTGAATCAAATACGGACACAACCACACTGCTGTCAACTCCTGGACTGTTAGTCCTTAGCTGTTGCTGTAGATTTACCTGAAAAATCATCAGAATGAAAAAATACATTACTCCACTTTTTTAAATACGGAAAACATGTTAACATTTCTGTAGATGAAGATTCTGATAATTATAAGTATACTGCAAGATGCTTAATTAGTATATAGACAGGAATAACATGAAAAAATGACATACTTTGATGACCCTGAAGTTGTTTTGATCCCCTGAAACGTTGACCAGCAGGTTGAGCCAGGTATACTCGTTCTTGGTGTCCTCAAACAGCCTCTGAGTGTCCATTGTGTGTCTGTGAACGAGCTTCAGCCTGTTGTCATACTGGAGACAGGAGGCGTTCAGCAGGGTGTGCATCTCTTCCATCTCAGAGTGTAGCTGCTGCAAACGGGGACACTCTGGGAAAGATGCATAAATATAAAGGATTGAATCATGAATATAATCTGCTACAAATCCGACCAAGGTTCTTGACCGGAAAAACTAGCTTTCTCTCTGCAGAGGGTGTAGAGCTGTTCCTCTGCTCCACGGCTACTAAGGAAACCACAACGCTCTTCCTGAAGCACACTGGCATTATCCTCCACTGAGGATGCAAAGAAATGACACCCCTATAGTTGGCACCTACCTTCTGATCACATTTCTTATGAGGGGGAAACTAGCATCTCAGTCTGCCACTCAAGGGAAACTGTCCATTTTTTTTTTACCACTGGTGACTTCAGCTTGTGTGAAGAGCAAGTCTGGCTCTGAGCTCCCAGGTTGGCCAGATTGAGGAGATCCTCAAAGTATCCTACTGAATATAGTGTTATCCAAGCACTGCTTCCCCTCCAGAGGTGCCAAATGGTTTGCCAGAGTTATTTTGAGTCCAACCAATAGTTCTCGATTGTCTCTCCAAACTCCCCCAAGGCCCAAGTTGTTTTTCTCTGCGACTGCCCGGGCAGTTGCACGCTTGGCCTAATAGTACCTACATGCTGCCTCAGGAACCCCACAAGCCAAAAAGACTTGAAAGTACTCAGCTCAGGTGGCTCGGACAGGTTTCAAATACCCCTGCAACGCCTCCAAAGGGGGACGCCTATGTCTCTCGGCTGACCCTGGAATTCTTTGGGCTAACTCTCGATGAGTTGAAGGTAGTATCTGTGGAGAGGGGAGTCTGGGGGCCTGCTGAGACTGCTTCTCTAGCCCCTGTCCCAGATAAGTGTAAGACAACGAGTACGATTACCATTTGCAGTTTTATTTGCCACAAGAATTGTTTATACATAAACTATCTTTAAAAAAAAAATCTATAAAAATGTAATAAAACTTTTTATCATTTCTCATTTTACTTCTTTCTCTGAGTATATCACATACAATGAATCTGAATGGAATCAAATACACTTAAGTTTGTTGTTGTAGTTTAATAAATCAGCACAAACATGAGTCTTAAAAGTTAACAATAAAACCTGGTTTACCTTTAATCAGGTCATTTTTGCAGTTCTCACACAGTTTTTGCAGCTGCCAGCACTCTGACACTTGTCTGCGGAGCGCTCTGCACAGATATCCATTTGGCTGCTGTCCAAATGTAGGTGATTCTGCATTTTTGATATAAACAAATAATCAGTTACTTCTGTTAACATAAAGTAATTATAGCAAATTCAAAATGTAAAAGATGAAGTCCAATGCCTCTGTTTGAGTGGTGGAAATATTCATCAGCTTCTTGGATCTCTCCGAATACATCCTCCACCGTAGAGCTGAATTCCTCCATCACATCCTTCCCATATGCAAATACTGTGTAAAGGATGTGATCCAAACCCAAACTCTTAAAAAATCCATCACCAGATCCATCCTGTGGTGCTGAGAAAGAGTTTGATTGGAGCTCTAAGGTCAAAGCTTTGAGAACAGAGGGCCCAAGCACATGCTGCATCTTCTTTACCACAGTCAAGCTGTGGTTGTATAAGTCACTGATGTTTGACAGCAGCTGAGTGAATGATGCTTCAGCTTGATTCAGCTCCGTGTCAATTTTTTCTGCCTTGATCTGGTTCTCAGCTGAGGAAGTTTTATATGAATTCTGCTCTGTGGACTCAAACTGGGAGGCCATTTTCCTAAAAAAGTCTTCAACCTGAAAATTAGGAGAGTTTTTTCATGTCAGCACCTGTTATGCATCAGTGTCAGGATTTGAAAATGTGCAACCAAACCTTCAAAGTAAAGGAAGTGTAGCCACGGCGACATGTTGAGGTAAAGAAGGCTTTACAAGAATCCTCGAGACAAGGCCGACACTCCCCAAAGAATGATTTGGTTAAATCTCGACACTGCTGCTCTGCCTCCTCGAGTCTCTGCTCTGTTTCCCTGGCCAGCTGCATAGCCCC